GTTTCTACATTTGGGTTTGATGCATGCGTGCATGGGGGAGTGATTGAGTTACCAAATAGGAACGGTTTCCTATTACGTTGGCGGGTAATTTGAGAAACAGCTGTCCTTTGGGTTTCTTTGAATCGAATTGGAGCGATTCACTGCATAAAGGTTGGGATGAACGAGTCCAATGCATCATCATCAGAACGCGAATCTGAAAGCAACAATTCATAGCCAAGGATTTAAATATTGGTTATCGGAGATTTATCAGATGGTCAAAATCCATATCAGATATCAGATATTGAGGATATAGCGAGGATAAGTAATATTTATCGAATGACATTACGTACCGGATGGTGATATACATAATATAATATTCTAAAATGTAATCTATACCATACTTAATAAAATATAAACATACCAAAATGTAAATAATTATGTTTAGGATCACTAATCAATGGTAGAAGTCAGGTCGCGTTTAAAATACATTGAATAGGTGCTCCTTGCTCGAAATCAAAACTCAAATTAAAGGCGGATAATTCCGATTTTTGTGCTGACAATATCAGCCAAAAACTCACTTTATCGCCGTATTATTTATCGGTGATAAAACAATAACAGATTCAGAATTGAACTTATCATAGAGGAAGGCCTCCAAAACCGATAAATCACCGATAATATCAGTTTATCGGCCGATATTTAAAACATTGTTAATCATAACATATCAATTTAGTAATGGTGAGTACACCGACACTTTTTTACAGTGTAAAATTTCATAAAATAACATTAAACTACATGGGATATTGCAAAGTATATCGCAAGGAATTTGGAAATTTGAGTTCATTTGGCTATGGTTGCTCATAGGGGTGAGCAAACAGTCGGTTGTGCTTGGTTGAAATTGTTAGCAAAGCTGAATAGTACCTTCCTAAATCTGAAACCAAATCAGACTAACCGAAATTAGTGAGATTAGTTTGGTTTATTAGGTTTGGATTTAGACTCATCTAATTAAAAACGGTTATTTTGATCTCAATGAAAGATACAATTGTTAGATCTACATCATAAAACTTGAGATCTAAAACCATATAGCCATGATTAATTCAAAGAGATTAACAATAATCAAAAGAGCGGAAGCTTATACCTGAATCCATGGATGAAATCTTGATTTGGGTTTTTGATGATCTTCTAACCTTAGGGTTCCTCTAAAATCCGAATTTCTCTCTTAGATGGGGGTGAAGAGAATTAGAGAATGCAACCCTAGGTTAGGGACCATAACCCCTTATTTATAGATGTTGTACTTTTGTAATTTAGCCCCTCAATAAATTACAATTACAACCTGGTATCTGCACATATAACCCCATGACTTATTTAAATACCAAATTAACCCAACTTAATTGATCACTTTAGTGGGTTATCCTGAAAGATAGCAATACACATTGATTAATCATATGTGCCCACAAATAGATTTATTAGATTAAATCCAACAATCTCCCACTTGGGCACTATATGATTCCTTAAACTGTGTATAACCTTATGAGCTCAAAAATTGCTATCACTGAAATGGTATTTCCGAACAATCTCGTCCATTGACTATATCAATATAGGATCAAAGCGGCCTTCGTCACATTTATCGTGACTCGACCCATCAATGGTCACATATACCAATACAATCAAATGACATAGATCAATCATGGATGTGCAGCATGAAAATTACATGCAATATGATCAGTACATGTCTATTTTCAACTGGTCCTCCTTAGTGAGGTCAAAAACAACGAACGCGAGGTTCGTCTGAAGTACGAACGCGAGGTTCGTCTGAAGTACGAACGCGAGGTTCGTCTGAAGTACGAACGCGAGGTTCGTCTGAAGTACGAACGCGAGGTTCGTCTGAAGTACGAACGCGAGGTTCGTCTGAAGTACGAACGCGAGGTTCGTCTGAAGTACGAACGCGAGGTTCGTCTGAAGTACGAACGCGAGGTTCGTCTGAAGTACGAACGCGAGGTTCGTCTGAAGTACGAACGCGAGGTTCGTCTGAAGTACGAACGCGAGGTTCGTCTGAAGTACGAACGCGAGGTTCGTCTGAAGTACGAACGCGAGGTTCGTCTGAAGTACGAACGCGAGGTTCGTCTGAAGTACGAACGCGAGGTTCGTCTGAAGTACGAACGCGAGGTTCGTCTGAAGTACGAACGCGAGGTTCGTCTGAAGTACGAACGCGAGGTTCGTCTGAAGTACGAACGCGAGGTTCGTCTGAAGTACGAACGCGAGGTTCGTCTGAAGTACGAACGCGAGGTTCGTCTGAAGTACGAACGCGAGGTTCGTCTGAAGTACGAACGCGAGGTTCGTCTGAAGTACGAACGCGAGGTTCGTCTGAAGTACGAACGCGAGGTTCGTCTGAAGTACGAACGCGAGGTTCGTCTGAAGTACGAACGCGAGGTTCGTCTGAAGTACGAACGCGAGGTTCGTCTGAAGTACGAACGCGAGGTTCGTCTGAAGTACGAACGCGAGGTTCGTCTGAAGTACGAACGCGAGGTTCGTCTGAAGTACGAACGCGAGGTTCGTCTGAAGTACGAACGCGAGGTTCGTCTGAAGTACGAACGCGAGGTTCGTCTGAAGTACGAACGCGAGGTTCGTCTGAAGTACGAACGCGAGGTTCGTCTGAAGTACGAACGCGAGGTTCGTCTGAAGTACGAACGCGAGGTTCGTCTGAAGTACGAACGCGAGGTTCGTCTGAAGTACGAACGCGAGGTTCGTCTGAAGTACGAACGCGAGGTTCGTCTGAAGTACGAACGCGAGGTTCGTCTGAAGTACGAACGCGAGGTTCGTCTGAAGTACGAACGCGAGGTTCGTCTGAAGTACGAACGCGAGGTTCGTCTGAAGTACGAACGCGAGGTTCGTCTGAAGTACGAACGCGAGGTTCGTCTGAAGTACGAACGCGAGGTTCGTCTGAAGTACGAACGCGAGGTTCGTCTGAAGTACGAACGCGAGGTTCGTCTGAAGTACGAACGCGAGGTTCGTCTGAAGTACGAACGCGAGGTTCGTCTGAAGTACGAACGCGAGGTTCGTCTGAAGTACGAACGCGAGGTTCGTCTGAAGTACGAACGCGAGGTTCGTCTGAAGTACGAACGCGAGGTTCGTCTGAAGTACGAACGCGAGGTTCGTCTGAAGTACGAACGCGAGGTTCGTCTGAAGTACGAACGCGAGGTTCGTCTGAAGTACGAACGCGAGGTTCGTCTGAAGTACGAACGCGAGGTTCGTCTGAAGTACGAACGCGAGGTTCGTCTGAAGTACGAACGCGAGGTTCGTCTGAAGTACGAACGCGAGGTTCGTCTGAAGTACGAACGCGAGGTTCGTCTGAAGTACGAACGCGAGGTTCGTCTGAAGTACGAACGCGAGGTTCGTCTGAAGTACGAACGCGAGGTTCGTCTGAAGTACGAACGCGAGGTTCGTCTGAAGTACGAACGCGAGGTTCGTCTGAAGTACGAACGCGAGGTTCGTCTGAAGTACGAACGCGAGGTTCGTCTGAAGTACGAACGCGAGGTTCGTCTGAAGTACGAACGCGAGGTTCGTCTGAAGTACGAACGCGAGGTTCGTCTGAAGTACGAACGCGAGGTTCGTCTGAAGTACGAACGCGAGGTTCGTCTGAAGTACGAACGCGAGGTTCGTCTGAAGTACGAACGCGAGGTTCGTCTGAAGTACGAACGCGAGGTTCGTCTGAAGTACGAACGCGAGGTTCGTCTGAAGTACGAACGCGAGGTTCGTCTGAAGTACGAACGCGAGGTTCGTCTGAAGTACGAACGCGAGGTTCGTCTGAAGTACGAACGCGAGGTTCGTCTGAAGTACGAACGCGAGGTTCGTCTGAAGTACGAACGCGAGGTTCGTCTGAAGTACGAACGCGAGGTTCGTCTGAAGTACGAACGCGAGGTTCGTCTGAAGTACGAACGCGAGGTTCGTCTGAAGTACGAACGCGAGGTTCGTCTGAAGTACGAACGCGAGGTTCGTCTGAAGTACGAACGCGAGGTTCGTCTGAAGTACGAACGCGAGGTTCGTCTGAAGTACGAACGCGAGGTTCGTCTGAAGTACGAA